TTTTAAAATAAATGTGCTTATAAAGAGAATTTTTATATAATGTGCTTATATAGAGTGTGACTATAGGGAGGTTTGACAATCCTAAACTCTAAATCTCAATATTAGTATAATATATTATATAAAGTTTTTGGCCCGCATTTATAAATTTATTGGCCCGGTCCGCAAAACGGGCCGGCAATCCCACGGAATTCATCGGAACTCTAGTCGGGTGGGCACAATTTACTAAAAATTTTACTAATGAAATCATAGTCGTTCAAGTAAAAAGTGCCAACTGATAATTTTACTAGAACTCCTACTAACCAGTATGGCTTGCCCTAACCCTAACACCAATGCATTCCGACTAGGAATTCTGAGGATTGCCCTGTGAAAAATCCCAATGCCCTGATCCAAAGTGAATAAGCGGAAACGAAGTTTCCCAATGAATCAGGATATTATTATGATTTATTTAATATTTGTTTTCTATTAAAATAACAAAAAGTTCTTTGATAAGCTTAAATAAGGCTATAATAGATTCCTGGTTTTTCTTTAAAGCTTATTTAATAAGCTAAATTACTAGTATTATTGAAAAGAGTCCAACTCGGCAAAATTTAGAAGCAGTTAGTTTTCACATGAAGAATTCGGTTAAATCCCAATTTATCATGTCGATATAAAAAATATAACTCAGTTATCTGTATTATCAAACTCTACCATCATCGTATGATAAATATGGTCGACTGAGTTGGTGATTTCTTCCACACGGATAATGTATCCATTGTGACAAATGAGGGTGCCAATAGAAATGGGACAAATTTTTTCCAAGTAAAAGTTTTTAAACTTTTGAGGTAAAGTATCTTAACAACCATCAAATTTAGTTTGAATTTTTTTAAAAAAAGTTACTAAAAAATGATTTATCCCATTTCTATTAACTCAACCAAATAGTTTAAAATAATATAACATTATATATATGTGATGTCAATTACATGTGATTTATTATGTAAAAATTAAGGTACTTTAGTCCGCGCATTGTAATTATTATGGCACTTCATTAGTGTTTCTACTATGTCTCAATCTAAAAAATGATTATTTGTCTCAGTAGATTTCACTTTCAAAGCCGAGGAATTAGATACAGAATAAAGTTAAGACTCGCAAGTAACCTAGTCGTCTGCCCCTTCACATTTGCATTTTAAACATAATTAATGTAGTGCAGTGGTGGTTCAGTGAATTTATATGGGATATAGTTGAATTCTTGTACATCAGATATATGTATTAAACGATCACTTTGGAACTGCAATGTGCTATACTGTAATTATGCAGAAAAACTTTTTTTATAGCTTGTGCGCATGTGACCACTTTCTCACGCCTTCAAGTCTTGATTGGCTAATTCACACTGACTTAAACTTAATTTCAAGATATAAATAAACTTCTGGATCCTTAAATCGTCCATCTCTTTTTTCGTTATAAACTTAAAATCCGCAGCAATCCCCGCGCGTGTGTACATATATATATATATATACACGATTATGTCCCAATCAACTTCACATAATCCTTCTAACATTATCGACGTGGTTCAAAGCCTTGATACTCCATCATTATCAGGTGTCTCATCACCCTATCTTCCTACCGAATGTTTACAATGTATCTTTTCTTTCATATCTGATGATGATGTAGAAACTTTTTATTCTGCTGTATTGGTTAATCGTTCATGGTGTAAAGCCGCTGTTCCATTCTTATGGAAAAAGCCTTTTACAACTAATTTAGAATTACCATCATTACTCAAAATTGTTCCAATTTATTTAAGCTCGATAAATGTTGAATCTTTATCCGATGAATTCAGAGAATCTTTTTTTCATTTAGATCATTTAATGTCATGTATTGGTGACGAAAAGAGGTTAACTTTTGATTATCCTACTTTTTTAAGAGAACTTAATTTTAAGAAATTGTATAATTCAATTTCTGAGTGGACAAATAGTAATAGAGTTTTCACCCCAAGATCCTTATTAAGTGTTGATTTCGAACTTAAAAGATTATCTTTTGTTGATAATGGTCAAGGGAATATTCAAGGAAGGGTATATCATGAATATACAGATGAATGGAGTGATCAATCTCTTGTTCATGATTCATATAATCGTACCGAATTTGACGTAACAAGTGATATCGATTCCTCCCCCTCGGAATCCCATACTGACTATGAAGAAGTTTGGGAAGAAGATTGTGATCAATATTATGATGAATATGATCATTTCGATGTTTCTACTGAACCGGATCATAGTGATCATGAGGGTGAATGGTTAGATACTCCTACACCTTTTGATATGACCGATGAAGGTCGAAGATTAATTATTGCCAGAGAGATTTGTATGATGTTAGTGACTAAATGTCATTCATTCGATAAACTTATTCTGGATATGCGAGGCTTTTCTCGAATCTTATCATGTCAATCTGTCAATTATATATCTTTACCATGTTTCCCGGGTGCTAGCGAATCTCTGTCACGTCTCACTGAATTTTTTTGTGGTGGTGAATTCTATAAAGGAGATATATATAATGCTATGTCAATGTATTGTAAAGACCTTCATTCTATTGTTATCGTTGACACTTATCGTTCAGCAATAGATTCATTAGCAAATCTGATCTCTGTTCAAAAGAGACTGCAAAAATTTAGCTGGACCGGTGGATACGAAGATTTATCACCTATTACTTTATCATTTTCCAGTCAACGTGAAAATCTTATCGAAGTTCAATTAGAAAATGCTTTTTTTAGAGACTCTACTGCTCTTGAAGGGTTAGCTCCTTGTCAAAATTTGGAAAGTCTTAAAATTGCTGAATGTCAACTTACCGCTGCCAATTTAAGACCTCTGGTAGATGTTACTTTTCCACGACTCCAAGTTTTAGAAATTACGGACGTTCGTGACATTTATTATCTTGATCATCATGAAGACAGTACTCCTCCTTCTGAAGAATTAAATGCGATAATTCGGAGAGCAAATGGAACACTTCGCGAAATTCGTTTAAATTTAGAATTACACTTTTATCCTAATATCATCGACACTATCGCTGAATGTTGTCCAAATCTTAAAGTGCTTGCAGCAAGTATAAAAGATGATGAACAAATTCCCGAACTTCTCAATTTATTAAATTCATGCAAGCAACTTGAGAGTCTAATTATTCATGGTTATAATAGTAATTTCTTCACTGCCGATTCTATTATGCCTGAAATTGGTTCAACTATACCGGAAACTTTACGATATTTGGATCTCACTAAGTGGACATTTAAAGCTCCAGCTTTAAAGTTGTTCTTATCAAATTGCAATGCAGAATTGAGGTACATCACTTGGCATTGTTTCGTTAATAATAATAGCGAAGAATATACTGCAGCGCTCGAAAACTTTGCACAAGAAAAAGAACTTGAGATAGGAAATTTGCAAGTGGATTTTCGCGACTCCGGATTTGGTTGGTGTCAGTGTGTTTGCAATATTTCAGCGGAACTTGTGGAACGCCCAAGTCAAATTGAAGATATATAAATTATATTCGGTAAGCTTTTCTTTTTTTTTATTTCTCCTTTAGAACCTCCATAGTTCGGCTCATCATTTGTACATGAATTTTTTCTAGATTATTATAAACAAATCGTTTGACATCGATATTTTTTTAATTATTAATTAACAATAATCCTTGTAGATTTAGAAAAGTCACCGCTTTTAAAGATCTGAGTTAGAAATCGCGTAGTTATTTTTTCATTTTTTTGGATTAGAAAATCGTTAAAACATTTTATGCATATTATACTTACAAAATAAACTATGTATAGCATGTACAGATGTATTTTTCATACAACGCTTTAATTATTTATTTGTGATAATCAGAAATCGCATTATTTTTAAAAATTCGGTAATTTATTGGTTAAACATCAGTATTTCATGCGCGCAGTCTTGGAGTGCGATATACGTAAAATTAATTATACAGTATATCTAAAATTTTCATATAGTGATAAAAATTACAAATGATTTTTCGCTGAATTAATTTTGACTGTAGTCTCTAAGTAGTAAAATTGATTGGCTCTGGTGTATGGGCGGAAATATTCAATTTTCATAATTTTTTATTATCAGTTATGAATGAAAAATTTTTGAACCATCATAATCAGTCATCGTAAAATTCTTTAGATGATAGTTTACGAGCTCTTATCAGTTTTTATAGTCAGTATACATACACATGTGTAATTTAGACCATCACCGACTGTAAATTTTCTCTCATACGGCAAATTTGCGGATCATTTAGCCAGATTCGGAATAGAAAAAAGCTAAGTTTTGGTTGTTTCAATCCATTAAGATATCCGTTATCCGAAGTATCCAATCTGAATTTATCCGGATATCCGTTTACTATTGTTATCGTGCAAACTCTTATGATCATAGATTTTTTTTTTCTTGTTATTTTTTGTACGTTATTACATAAGCACAACAATCTCGAATTAAAACTCAGTTAGCCAATAATGCATGATCATAATTGCACGATAACATCGATCTTGATCTTGCGATGATAAACGTTTGTTCTGTCAGAACAAATGATTGGTTGAAATGTGCCGCGTAGCGGCACATGTCAGCCAATCATTTGCTCCAACAAACCAAATTTCATAAACATCCGAATAATTATCCGAATATTTGTCGGATTATCCGGATATCGGGTTCATGTCCCGACAACTATCTTCTCAATAATATTTTGTTGGGAAATGGTTGTCGGACGGATATCTGATTGTTTATCCGATCTGAATTGTCCGGATAATTAAGATACGGATTTATCCGGATTGGAACTCTAACTTACAATTTAGATTATATCGATATCCAGCAATGATTTAACACTTTAGGATAATTTGATTATCGTTATCTTTTATTGTAAATAAAGTTATGAAATCATTACTTTTTTGAACATTTTAATGTTCTACTTAAAAAGTGACAATCAAGTTTCTTTTAAAAGAAAAGAAAAGGTTGGTAGCTTTGCTTGCTGAGGCAAAATTTTTGTCCTAAAATTAATGTCGCCAAGTGAAAGCCAAGAAATTTAAAATAGATTATGATCTATATTTAGATTTCCTGGTGACGATCAAATATTAAACTGTTAAGATTGACACTTATTTGGCGAAAATATTATATGATACAGGGTATTATATATAGTTTGTTTATAAAAAGAAATGTACAAGATAATTTTTTTTTAGCTAAAGCCCAAACATTTATTTTTTTAAATTGATTATTAATACCGGGGTATTCGAATATAAACTATATACAGTATATATTAATAAATTAATAAATATATATATATTAAATTTTGAAAAATAATTTTTAGTATAGTTAAATTAGCTATTATTTAATAATTTTATTAGAAAGTTAACCCAACTATATATTGTCATATACAGTAAATTAAATAGTATTATTAAATAATATATATTTGCTAATAATATTTTTTGTGTTTCTATAGCAAAATTGAGACAGCAATAGAAATTATAATTGGATTAGAGTTAAGTTAGAGTTAAAGTTTAAAATTAAATTAGAGTAAAATTGTAAAAAGAATATTTTTGTTTAGTTACAATATACAACAAAAGTTATTTTAATAAAATTATAAAATATTAATAATTTTATAATAAAAAACACAGTGTATAAAACACTATTCAGTTTTTTTGTTTTTTGTTGTTGTTGTTAAGGTGAGACCTTGCTTGCCTTTATTAAATAATTTATACAAGTAATTATATAGAAACTACATAAAGACTTAATTTGTATACTAACAAAACAATATAAATTATATGCAAGAATAAAAGTTCAGACTAAAAGCTTAACCAAAGCAAAGCTTAGCTAAACTAGTTATCTGTAATCTAAATCTACTAGAGTAATTAAAACTCATCTAGGTTTAATAGTTAATATATAGTTTGTATATATACTATATTGAATCTATATTGTAGACCAAAAATTAAATTTTTGTTGTACATGTTTTTTGGAAAGGCAGTTGTTGTTTTTATTTAATTGATTTGCCAAGCCACAAGAGCAGTTATATAAAAACTTTCTTTATTGTTGTCTAATATAATGTTGTGTTGTATTTGTACTGCTAGAGCTTTCTTTTAAGTTAGTATATTGTGCTACTTTTTCTATGTTGTAAATCTCTTACAATATGCTTTTCAAATTTGTCTATAAATCTCTGTAGATATGCTAAGTAATATATGAATATATATCTAATATCTGAAATACAGTCAGATCTCAATATAGTCACCAATTCAGAAAACAAAATTTAAGTGACTATAAAAAGGTGTGACTCTTTGATATAATCACTTTAATAGTAAATAAAAATATTTAGTAACTATATAAAGGTAATTAAAATTTTTTTCAAACACTAAAATTTGTAATAAAATGCTTTTTTTTTGGTAACTAGTTTTTTTTTTTATTTCTTTAACTTTTTCTTTATACTATAAATTGCACAAACAGCAAGACTTCTACCTTCTAAATTAGCATTTTTCACATCTATTATAGTTGGTCAAGAGATCAATATACATTTATATACAGCTTAGTTCCAACCTCAACTTGAATTATATAAAATAAGTTTCAGCAATCTTATTAAGATAATATATTTGTAGAGTTAGATAGATGTTATATAATACTAAGCCAAGACTATAATTTACATCAATGTTATACATATTTTTAAACATGAAAAGGTTTTTAGCTTTTAAAAACACAGTACCAATGGAGTAGACAGAACTACTTTAAGGTGATAATTATCTAGAATAACTACTTTAGACATGCATGAATATGATTTATTAGTAGTTTTGTCTTCTGTGATAGTTAATACTACAGTATTGTGTCAACACCTTTAGTTGTAACTTCTTGAATACTACTATGTTATCTCACAACAGTTAGGTTCTCTTGTTTTAGTGATTACAATTGTCATGTGGCACAAATTTTCGGTAATCAGTTTATAGCAATTAGTATTGCAATTTAAATTTTAATATTGAGGTTTATTATATTCGATATGTATATGTTCGTTATGTTGATTATAAGCACAAATGACATATTTTTTCTTTACACAGTATATATTAATAATTCAAATAGAAATATAGGTATCAACTTAAGCTAATTATTAAATAATATACTAATTACATGCTAGAGATAATAACAGCTAAGTTTCGAATAAAGGTAATAAGTTCAATTGATATACTTTATACTAACAAATTTAAAATTTATTTATATATTTATATTCTAGAAATGTGAATTTTGAGAATAAAAAAATACAAATCTTGAGAATACAAATCTTGTAGATATAATTCTTGAGAATCTAATTCTTGAAAATCTGATTCTTGAAAATCTGATTCTTGAGAATAGAAGAAGTCTTGGGAATAGAGGTCTTGGAAATATGAATCTTAAGAATAGAGGTCTTGTAAATATGAATATGTATCATGAAAATGTAAATTAAGAGAATCTAAACCTTGAAAATTAAAAAAACTAGTGATTTTTTTTGTTTTTTTGACTTTTTATATACATATTTATATTCTTTAAGCAGATTTCTTTAAAATCCTAGTTTTTCAAGAGAGAGATTTAACTCTGAAATTTCCTGTTCTTCATTTTGGATAACAGTTTGCATTGCATTAAATACTTTAGCAGCTGTTACAGATAAATCAGATACTTCATTTTTATCTTTAATTTTTTGCCCAACTGATTCTTCATTTTCATCAGCTTGAAGAACTATAAAAATGATTACATTATCATCAAGTATTTCTTCTGTAGCAACAGATTCTTCAATTATTTGTAGATATATTGCTATGGTTTGAGCTGTCTCTGGCGTATATGAACTTTCATCCAGTAATTTAGCAATTATTTTTTCAATTTCATTATTTTCTAATAGAACATTACCTTCAGCATATTGATCTACAGTATTTACATCTAGCTCACTTGTATTTGGGAGAATTTTTGTCTTGTTCCAACAGTTTTGAATATAGTCGACTCCCTCTAAGTGCATATCCTCTAAGTGCAGGTTCTCTCTATCTGCAGGAAAATAGCCTGGTCCCAAGTCAGAACTTATAAAATAAGTATATGTTCTACAGTGCGCAATACTTAAAGGCTATACAAAGTTTAAAAGCCAATATCTTTTGATCTAAAAAAGACATTTAAAAAAGAAAGCCATTATTTTGTAGCTTAATCAATTTGCTACAACTTAGCAGCTTTATTTTTTAAAAAATTATAATAACTTTTTAAGGTATATAGCTTTAAAAATATAATATTTTTATATGATCATATGAAAAAAGTTAAAAATGGAACACATTGAAAAAAATAGACAATCAAATTGGTTTAAATTTATA